CAGTGACACATTCATGCAGCTCGCTCCTCATCACTGTAGAGTGAGATCTTTATATTCTTGCTTCTTCTGGAATCCTTGTGAATGGATGTGAGATGATGAATAAAACTTGAATCTGCTGCCTCGAGTGCCAGAGCCTCCTCTCTGTGATATTTGGTCTCTCCTTTCAGATTTCCAACTGATTTCACCAATAAAGGAAAAGAAGCTTGATGAAAACGTGTGTTAATTGTGGTCTTCAACCAAATCGTCAAGTTTTTGACGAAGCAGAAGGAGCACATGTGAATGAAGTCACCCTGAGGTGCTCCGCTTTTCTGCCGTCCCCATTCATCAGGTCCTTCTTCACCTGTGCATTGGATTTTCACGTCATTCTCCCAAACAAGTATCAAGTGCTGATTAGTTAATCTCATTCACAGAGAATCAGATGCAGATGAAACTCTATTTCAGGAGGGAACTCTCTTTCTGACGGACGCCTGCCGACGACAACATGGTCACTTTCCCAAAGCTCAGCTTCAGATTCATTTCTTCAGGATGAAGAGCATCTCCTGGGTCTTCAGTTTGAGCAGCAGCTCTTTCTGGTGCCATGTCACTTTTCCATGTGAGAAGATATTACTTGGCGAAACTTCCGCGTGCCAAAGCACACATTACTTGATAGATGATTGTGCCAACATCCGCGTTCGGCTCAACTTCAACCGAATCCACTTCAGTGAAAAGATGTTTCCCTCCAGAGATTCTCAGTCTCCATTTTCCACACGGTCGTCTCTTTCCTCTTCATGAGCTGAGAAAGAAGTGTGAACTTCAACCACTCACCCTTAATAGTTGTAACAAAAAATACTCTACCTGTTCTGGTTCATGGGTCGGGTCATGTCTACTTTGATGGTTAACGTTTCCTCCTTCACAGCGTTACTAGTTTTCTTGTCACTCCATCCACGGGGCATTTTGGGGTCCGGGTCCTCCCTCAGTAAGTGTTGCTCCAGACTTCTGGGCCTGTCGTGTTCCCACTCTTGAAGTCTGTCTTCTCCTGACCAGTGAGGCCGCTCTTCGATGGGATCCTTGTAACCATCTTCTCTGTAGGGTCGATATCCTAGTCTTTGCTCTCCGTGAGGAAGATCTTGGTGTCCCTGGGAGGACTGCTGCAAACGTGGTTGATTCCTGAGTGGTCCGGCCCTTCCGACCTGTCCACGATTAAACCTCCCTCTCCCAGGGCGAGGACAACCTCTCCCCCTGTGGTTCAAAGACCCATCTCGATTACCATATTTCATGGTATTTGGTCTGTCTTGCGGCACAGGGCTCCTCCGAGATTCAACATAGTTGGAATCTCTCCAATTATCTTGAAAACGGCGTCCCCTCACGTCTTCCCGATCATCCAACCGGCTGTCTGACGTCCTGAAGCGCTCCTGCGAGGAGCCTTGTGGGCGGGGACTCCTCTGTCTAAAGTCAAGATCTCTGCGATCAGAAAATTGTTCCCACTGCGGCGATTTTCTGCCATTTACGATACCGTGATCATGTTCAATGACAAGTGGTCTCAAGGGTCGAACATCTCTGCGGGGAAGGCTCCCCTGAAAGTCTCCTCCATACCCATCTCTGGGCGTCTCCACCGAGTAACGCTGTTCCCCAAGCTCCTCCTCAATCCTGTACCTGTGACAGCATAAGAGGAGGTGACATGGTTCAACAATGATTCATGGAAATGTCCATCTTCACATCTGCTTATGAATTTACTCTTGACATTAGCTTTGGATTTTTGTCAGTCTATGTCATTGCAATAGTTATCAATGTAGCATGGACGTTTAGAACGACAGCTGGAGCAACAGAAAACATGCAGAGATGTTGAAGAGCCAGTAGAGCTGGCAAAGACAGAAAACTTCAAGCCGTGCAATATGTTCGATTAGTGTTTTCTAACAAGGAAAATAAGAAATGACAAAAGACAGTGAAGGATTTTGCTCTATGAAAAGTAAAGATGAGAATCCTCTGAATTCTTCGTTCTTGAAAAGTGCGGCGATGCATTTTGCTTGAAATTTACCCAAGGTGATTGGCGTCATCCATTTCTCTTCGTTGCCTTTTAAAGGGGGGGCTCCTCTCTTGATGTGGCTCCTCCCTTGGTCTTTCTCTGTTGGGACCCTGTAAATTCCTCCTACCTCTTTCCCTACCTGCTCCACTACCTCGGTCATCGGTTCTCGTAGCGGGACTGAGGTCTCTGAACCTCCCAGGACCTCGGCCCTGCTCCTCCCTCCAGCCCATTCCCGGCTCTCTCTGCTGGTGATCTGCCTGAGACCTCGGTGGCAATCTTTCCCTCACCAAACTCGGGGGAGAGTGGGGCAACCTCCCCCTGTTATCATAACTCTGGTCTTGAAACCCTTCTTTGCGTCTATCTCCGTCTCCTCCGACATTACGTGGTGGGGAAAGCCTCCGACCGCCGTAGCCCCTCACATCATAGTGAGGTGAAGACGTCCGGGTGTAAAACTCCTTCTCATCTGGACGCCGTTGATGCCCGAGCTGGAAAAGGTCATCTGGAGAAGGAGCGGATCTTCTCTGGCCTTCTGGGTAAATCTCTTCCCTGACAAAGCCCCAGTCTTCCTCAGGATTCTGTCTGAGGCGGTGACTCCTGTCACGTGGATTCTCATCCAGTTCTGCGAGGATTTTATGAGGATCAAAGTTCGATTCCTCCCACGGAAACCTCCTGAAAGAAAAGAAGAAAACTTCACCTTAAAAAACTGTTAAATTTAAAACACAAATATATTAAACGTTAAATTAACGTGTTTACCTGTAGTTAGGAGACCGCGACCGTGGTCTTGACATAGTTTCACCTTAAAAGAACAGAGAAGTTTATATTTAGTTTAACGCTGCAAGAACAGACAGTTAACAATTGACTACTTTATCAAGAACTGTCCTTTAACTAAAGGCTAATGATTGACTGTCTCAAGTAGTCACATCAGTTGTGTTTAAATTCACAATAATTTACCATCATTATTATTATTATTATCATGTCATCATGTGACATCTGTAAAGAAAACTGATTCGTCTTTAATTATCTATCTTCATACGCTGTTGAGTGACACTAAAGTTTACTATTAAAGTAAAATACTTTCTGCGCCTGAATTTGTCCTTAAAAACATGAGATTTAAGATTTTACAGCTTCTACAACCTCGTGTTTCCAAATGTAAATAACAACCTCCCTGTTTATCACTGTGAACTGAGAACTGGTTTGACTTTATATTGATTTTTTAATGCACAGTTAAGACCTGGAATTACAATAAATATACATTATTTTAATATAATACTAATACTTGATCAATACACTGCAGCAAGTATATTAAATATATGTATTTATCTATCAGGACAATAATGATCAAGGCACCGATCAGGTTAAAGAGCTGGAACACGTTTTACTCAAGTCACAAATAAACTCATTTATATGTTATAACACATTTTAATACCATCTAATAGAAAACAAACACCAATGCTAGTTAAGCTAAGCTAACGCTGCGCAGATGACTTACCCCGGGCCACGCTAGTGTCAGCTAACGCGGCTAACGTTAACGCGGCTAACGTTAGCTAAAGCGAAGACAAGCGCGATGAACCAGCGAAGAGCGAACGTTCGGAACGTTAAATTAAAAACGTGACTATCCACGAATATGATCCAGATCCGAACAGACGCGCTGACGTTTCCTCCGAAGTTTAAAAATGTCTGAAACATTCAAGATGTCGCGTTTCCGCCGGACACAAGGCTAACCACTTCCGCTGAGGCCTTTTCACAATAAAACCAGCGGATGTGCACATCCACATAAAATAA